TTCTAAAGATAAGAGACCTGTTGGTGTTGCAGTGGGAAGAGGCCAGATTGCAGTGTTCTGACGAATGAGTGGGAAGAAGTGGAGATGTTAAATGTTGAATGTGTGAGGACATTTGGCTGTGAAGGGGAGGAGGAAGGTAAATTTTTATTTGATGTGTTTTTCAGGAAAAACATTTCTCTTCAGCTGAGGCAACTTTAATATGTTTAACTGTTCACAGAAAAGGTATAGTAGAAAATGAGAAATAGAGTTATAGGTCTAGCTTTCTTGCCCCCAGAAATAGGGGCTGTAAATTGATGAGTTGAGTAGAGATAAACTGGACTTCCCATCCAAGTCCTTATTTTTAAAATAGCACATGAAAGTAGAAGCCATTTTCTGAAAGAAAGCCATTTCTGATGGAAGAAAGACTTGGGTGGGCCTTCTTGGGACTGAAAGGAGCTTCAGAGTACCTTTGTGGTAAGGAAGAATGAAAGTTAACTTGAAAGTGGAATGTCGAGATCTGGGGTTAAAACATGGAGTTCTGTGGCACTATGTTTGCCTTCTTTTGAAGCGCTTGTCTTCTTGGAGCAGGTGCAGGTAATATGACTAATCCAAATGACCTTTGTGTGAGTTCCACCTATTTGAGGGACTGCAGAAAACAGTAACAACTGGAGGCAAATCACCCTGGTTCTAACGACACAATCTTTTCCTAGCTGTTTCAAAAATGCAGAAATGACCAGCATTTGCACATTGTTTTCATTTTGCAATTTCATATGCATTATGCCCTTGATTGCCAATATAACAAAATGGGCTTATTACTAATATTTCCATTTGATGGTTGAGAGAATAAAAAAATCAGAGAGGTTCAAATGTGTTGCAACCCACATAAGCTTTCTGACTCTAAAGATTGTGTTTTGGAACATGCACATTAAGTGTTAAGATCTACGTTTGATTGAATGACTAGAGTCAGAATTTACCAGAATATAAGCTAAAGAAACAAAGACGACACCTAGATGGCACACAAATGAGAAAATGGAGGTTTCTATGAACTCTGACAACACAGTCAGATGAAATATATAAAAATATATTACATTTTAAAAGAAATCAATCCTTGGTTCATAGCTCAAAATAGCATGTTTTCTTTTTTTTGTGGTGTAGCAGAGGACACACTGCTATTATATCAAGCAACATTTAGTGACCAAAAGTAACAGAATGCAATATATTTACCGACAAGAGTGCCAAGGCTTTTTAAAGCACAGAATTGATTTACTCCTTTCAAAACCAAACTGACAGCAAAAGGGGGAAAAAATCGCATGATTCAAGGACGATATCTGAGGATTTAAACGTAGCAAGCACAAATCCATTAGTTTTCAAATGGGTCAAAAGACAAACTAGAAAATCTGTTGACTAGTAAGTGAATCAGTGGATTCAACATCTATTACTGTATAGGGAAAATACAGGATTTAGTGTAAAGGAGATGGTAGGAGGAAAGCTGTCAGAAAAGGAGTAGAATAAGAATAGATTTATGAATCTATACTTGAATATGCGAAGAGATTTTTATTACTCTATGCACCAAACTTATGGGTTTTAGTATTTTATATGCAAGAGACATGCATAAATTATTTATTAGTTATTTTTAGAGTAAACTGTTAAACTGTTCCAATAATTTACTTATGGCTGGAGAATAAATAAGGCATGATTTTATTTGATAATCTCTTTCCCTGAGTGTCCTAGTTTGGCTCCAGTCACATACCCAGTTAGATCTAGAGGACATGAAACTGTACTTTCCCTGCTCCTCTTGTTTTGTGGAGATTCTACCATCAAGTTTTGAATGAATAGGACTATAAGCCTTGAGCTGCTAGCTGCTTCTGTAGCACCTTTCAGTTTAGGTTGGTTATGTACAATCCTCAATATATTTCACCAAATTCCTATTCACTATGCTGCAAGGGAAACAGGTACAAGGCTAGAAGGGATACCAGAATGGCTGAGTCACTCCTGGCCATGAGAAGATGGTGGGTTAACTAACGGCACAGATTTATATTGTATCAGCTCAACCTTTATAGTTTGCTAAATGTAGGATATTCTGCTTGCTCAAGTGCCGTATCAATGCCACTCGTTCCTAGGCCACAAAAAGTCAGGAAAATCTTGCAAAAATGGTATGCTAGTTGTCTAAGGTTGGGGTGGAAAGCTCTTTTTACTTCTAAACTTTTTACCTAGCTGTACATTTATTTATACAAATGTACCAAAAAATGCTAGAGTTGGTAGAGTTCTATTCAATAATTTCTCCTTGGTTGCATTTTAATATTACTACTATTTTTCTCTTTGGTTCTTTGACAGACTCTGTAATTAGTTTCATTATTTCACAGTGCTCAAAAGCAGTATGTTTCAAAGTGTGCTAAGACCACCTGCTTGTCAAAACGATCCTGTCCTAGTCCTATCCTAGATTTTCTAAATCAGAAGCTCTAGGAATACAGCACTGAAATCTGTATGCTTAACAAGATCCCTGGGTGATTTTTTAAAGACATTAAGTGTAATATCTATAAAGAAAAGTGCATCTTCCACAACCACATATTGTGCTGAATTTTCATGATTTGAATAAAGCCTGGTAACCAGCACCTTGATCAAGAAGGAGTATGACCAGAACCTTTTAAGTAACCCTTATTTTTTTTTATTCTTCTCACCAAATATAATCACTACCCGATTTCTAAAATCATAGAGAAGCTCCACCTGTTTTGATAATTTATGTGAGTTGAATCATAGAAACGCTATGTCTCTGTTTGTGACTATTTTCTTTTGTTTGATATCACACTTGTAAAAAACCATTTATATTGTTGTTTGTGGTTGTAGACTATTCTTTCCTAAGTTTGAATAATTATTTTGTGAATGTACCATGAATTACAAATCCACTCAATTGTTGATGGACTCTTGGTTGATTTCCAGTTTGAAATAATTTTAAATGGGACCCCTAAGAACATTCTAGTGCATGCTGGGAATGTCAAATTCAAACTCAGAGTAGCCCGTGTTGAAGAAGACTTTATTCAAAGCTGTTGAAATGAGGTACAAAGACCAGATGCAGTCTGAACTCTGCTCTTCAGTAAGCACGAGTTGGTGGGAGAGTTATGAAGTTCTGGAATGGGAGCTTTTTAGACTTTTGTGTTTGTTAATTGGCCATACCCAATAATCTGTAGTTTGGAAACAGGTACCCATTGAAGTTAACCTCCTACTCTCCCAACAAACACTGGGAGGTAGATTTCCCATCACATGAAAGTTGATTTTATTTCAAAAGTTGGCTCAAGATCTTTGAAGAAGCTGGTTCTGGGTTGTGAAACTGGCAAATGACTTTTAAAAATTTTACTTTACAAAGGGTAGGAAAAAAGTTTATAATTACAAGTTTTCTGAAGTAAATGCTTTAACGAAAGTGAAATCAGCAGCCAAGGTCTAAGGAAGTGTCCTATGTACCAACTCCCTCTGATAAATGCAAATCATTATATACTGCTAATATGTACTGATACAATTAAAAATTAAATAAACAAGATGAGTCAAACAGAGGGAAATATTAAGGACGATTATATATTTATGTGTAGAAGCCTGCCATGGTGGTGTATGCTTGTAATCCAGAGCTCCGTGGTTGGAGATAAAGATCAGTATGAAGGGGCCTGGGATTTAGCTCAGTGGTTCCGCTGCCTGCCTCATAAGCGCAAGGACCGGAGTTCGATCCCCAGTTTAAAAAAAAAAAAATCAGTGTGAAGACCTAGGGTTGAATTCCCAGTACCACACACACATACATGCACACACATACAAAGGAAATATAGAGGATATTGTTCCATTTTCCACAGACGTTATGGTAATTTATTTATATTCCTTCTACAAGTGTAGCAAAGTTCTATTGAGTACACATCTTCATTAAAACGTAGCACTTTCCTTTTTATTTTATTTTAACCATTCTTGTGGAGAGAAGTGGCGTTTCACTGTACCCATCTATTTCTATTTTACTACATGACTTAGTAGATATGGGCTTTGAATTTTGTGCAAGGCCTTTCATCAGCCTTTGAGGCACTTTTGTGAGTTTTTCCCTCATAAATATTAATATGGTGAATTATTTGTACAGAATATCTAATACTGGACCATCCTTTCATTCCCAAGTTATTTGTATTAAAATATTTTAACTATTGAATTACATTTGGTGATATCTCATTGAGGAATATTTCATTGATATTCCTGTGAGATTATTCCAGAGATTTTTTTTTTTAATCTTTGTATTCACTTATTTGCAGGCCTTTCTTGAAGAGGAGACAAAGCTAATCTTTTCTATATTGTTCCAATTTCAGTTTGTAGACGACTGAAGTAAACACACGTCCACTAAGGATTTTGTGTTAGTGGTGACTGAACCAAAACGAACCCAGGGCCTCCCACTGAGCTACATGCTGAGTCCCTTTTTCTTTTAATCTGAGGCAGAGTCTTGTCTAAATGGCCTAGACTGAGCTGGAACTTGCAACGCTCCTGCCTCAGCCTGCAGAGTGCTAGGATTATAAGCGTACTTAATTTCAGAGTGTAAATTGTTCACTATGTTTGATTGCAGTTCTCTTTTTTCCTCCTCTTCCTTTTCCTTCTGTTTCTTTTGCTTCTTGAGGTAAACTGACTAATGGTAACCTGAGTGGGACCGCCCATCTGATTTGAGTCAGCATGGTTTTCTGAAGGATGTAAAAGGAGAACTGGAGGGGAGGATTTCGGCTGGTTCTTCTTCTTTCGCAGAGTTTCGTTGTAGCTACTGTTCTTTGGAAAGAGTTCCGGCGATTTTTCTTCGCAGGAGCTTTGGCTTCTTCCTTTCTTCAAGGGAGCTTCAATTTTCATCTTCAAATTGGATGTCTTCTCCTAGCTTCAGGGGCCAGTCAGCCTTCTGGCTCCAATCCCTCAGCCTTTTGGAGCAGACACTTTCGCTTCCGGCACTTGCCTTCGGGCCTTTCCGGCGCTGGCCTTCGGGCTTTTCCGGCGCTGGCCTTCGGGCCTTTCCGGCGCAGGTCCTTCCGGCTCACATGGCGGATCCTTCTGCTTCCTGAGAGAAGCTTGCACAGGATGTTGCCGTGAGCTCTAAACCCTCCGCTGGGTCCTTCAGGTCTCCAACGCTCAGACAGAAGTCTTGGACTCTTCTATGTCTGACTCTAGTAAGCACTGACTAATGCACTTATTTTCTTCCTTCTCGACCCTTTTCCTAGTTTTTACTATTGTTTCTTTATTTATTTTATATCTTAATTCTTTCATTATTCGCTTCTTTTCATGGAATGTCTTGAAGATTTTTTGGCTTATTGCAGATATTTGGTAAATATCGAATGAAGAGTTGACAGAATAAATTAATTCTGTAATTTCAAGGGAGTTTATTTCTTTGGAGGTCTGTAATTTTTTTTCTCTCGTGAACTTCGCAGAGGTCTGTGGGAAAATGTTCATTTCTGATAGGGATTTGGGAGGTTCCCAGACTGTGTGTGTAACTTCACATAGATAGTTTATATTTGTACGTCATACAAATTAGAAACATTGGTGAGACAATTTAATGTTTTAATAAAATTGATTGTTTACCATTTATCACAGTGGTATGATATCAGGCAGCTAGTTTCTATTCATTTCTTGTTGTGGAAAGTGTTAACATATTGGCTTTTTGCATCAATTGAGGAGATTCAGAAAGAGAAGGTGTAAGTCATTAAAATGGGAAAGATCTGGCCAGAGAGATGAGATGTAAGGAAATCCAAGGAAAAGTAACTTCTCAGAAGTTAAAAGAAACTCGAGTATGAATGGTAAACAGAGACAAATACCACGTTGACTCAGGTTCTGTAAGGACAGAATGGTATTTCCTTTGAAATATGAAGGTTGTTGACCACTACAGACTTCAGCAAAATTTTCTGGACCTGTAGAAGCGGAGGTCAGACTGATTTGGTTTAGGAACTGAAAGGGGAGTAAAGAGCAGAAGTCATGAGCAAGAATTACACTTCTTGGCCGGGGAGGAAAGGAGATAAGTTGTAAAGTAGCTAAAAGCAGCTATGGGAGTGAGAGGAGATTTTACTCATTATGGAAGAGACCAGGTCATATTTATAATTTTGAGGGTAAAGAGGCAGTAGAAAGAAAATAAAGCTTATTAACAGGGAGATGGAATTACTGATGAGGAGACCTATCTGCCCTGGCAGTGGAGTCTAGAAATAACTTTAAAGGTGTGCAAGAATTATCAAGGCATATAAAAGCCATAATTTTTAATGTTTACAGAGCTGTGGTTGAACCCATTTTGCTTACCCAAAAGACATTCTACCTCTACTTAATCTGCAAGCCTTTCCTTTATTAGAGTGGCTGTGTGGCCCACTCTAGGAGGTCATTCAAGGCATTTTTGATTTAAGCTAGTAATGAGAACTTCAAGATACTTATTCAAGTGCTTATTTTCTTAACTTCTTGCAGTTTGGTCTAGGAAGCAGAAAGTTCCCTAGGGAGCATCTGTGTTAAGTTTTTCAATTACTGATAAAAAGAAAGAACTTAACAGAAAGATCCCTTTTCCACCACCCTGACTTCTGACTTTGAATGCTGTTGTTTTATGCTTGATTCATAGGACCCATTCTGAGACTGTAAGGTAAGAGAATAAAGATAAAACTTCAACAAGAATAATAGACAGGGGGGAAGAATGGCTCCAGAATCCTAAATGTTTGCTAAACAGTGAACAGTGCCTGAGTGTCCATTAGTATTTTTTCTGTTGTTGACAGGCAGAGAATAACGGATTCAAATCATGCAAACTTTCCTTTCACAGTGATTCACAAGATCCTCAGCATTACCCACTTGGTAGGAAAGTGTATCATATAATGAGTAGTATTTCTACTTCAATTGATCATAGGGCTCAAAACTTTTTAAAAACTGTCTGAAAATACCCCCATTTTCACCATTATATTTCCATTTTAGTCAAATAATGAAATTATAGCAAAAATTAGTCATTAGTAACTTTCATTAGGGAAGGTGCTTTGTTTTTCTTCTCATTGCTTGTATAACTGAGATTCAATAAATATCCATGCAATAAATCAATAAAATATAACTCACCTAGCTCCATTTTTGGGAGAGGTGGTCTAAAATGTTTTAACTTTTCAAGGTGAATGGATTAGGTTTTCACCAATTTTGTGAAAATTATTTTTTTCTTTTATTATAGTTAAGGTATTTAATGGTTCTGTTAATATGATCCATGAAACAATTTCCAGCCAATTGGATATAAGCAGAAATAATCTACATCACTTCCAGATGCTAGTGTCCAGTAGGGAATGTCTCACTGTGCTGTCTTAGAGTCTGGAACATGGCTGGTAAGCCTGCTCACAGAGACTAGAGAAACACTCAAGGGGATTCTGGAGGACCTCCCTGGAGCATTTTTATTTATTTGACCTTTTCTTTCTTTTTTTTTTTCTTCACTGACCTCTTACAATATCCACTATGGAAGCTTCTTCTTCAAAACTCAAATGCTGCCCATTGAAAAGGATGAGGATGTAAGGTGAAATCCTGAAAATATGAATATTTTCCTCAATTACATGGTATAAATTTGGAAATGATGAGGGCATCCTGAGTCTGAGATGATTTTGTCCCCTCCTTCACAGAAATGAAAGATTTTCTGTATATCTAGGTTGTGACTGTGGATTCTAAACTATATTGCTATGTGAAATATGAAAGATGATTTATTAATGTCTACTGGGTTAGGCACTGTGTTTTTTTTTTTTTTTTCCGGTACCGGGGATCGAACTCGGGTCCTTGTGCTTATGAGGCAGGCACTGGAACCACTGAGCCAAATCCCCGGCCCAGGCATTGTGTTTTAAACATGGGGACTAATAGGAGGAAGTGAGACCTGTGGCCGATGGAAAATACTAGTGATAGAAAATAAGTAGGAATGTGTAACTAGCATTCAGTTAAGAAACTATTCACCAGAAAAAATGTAAATAAAAGACTGATTAATTCTAGAAGAATTAAAAACATCTTCTAAATTTAACTCTTTCAAATACTGCTGACTACATTGTTGTTGGTTGAGAAAACAATGCTGAGATCCTAAGTGTCATACTTTTATTAGGGATATTAAATAGAAAAAGTTTAAAAGCTTCCATATTTGGAGACTACCTTGGAGCTCTTTGGAATAAACAATTTCTATTGCGATTTTGACATTCACATTTGTCTTCATTGCTTTGTGTTTTTAAAAGCAAACAGTCATGTTCTAATACAATACCTGAATGTTGTGATAAATATAAACTTCCTTAGAAGTGTGACTAAGCACAGTTCTGTAAACAAACTGCTTTAATACCATTTTTGGATCCTATTGGCAGCTATATTAAAATGGAGGTTCCTTTGTAGGAAGATCTTGACAGAGACCAGATTCAAGAATACTAAAACACAGCATTGCAAGAAAATTTCTCCCTTGTCTATCTGCGCTTTGAGCTCTGATCAAGATTTCCCTGAGCATTGCCGGAAAGGCACTGCTCTGTCACATGCCAATTTTAAACCAGTTTACAGCTGCCCAAGCTTTACAGTCTCTTAGCTTTTGTATAGTGTTTATAAAGGATCTAGAGGTGATGATACTTAGTTTTTCCCTGGTTTATTTTAAATAGATGAATAAAGGAGGAAAGGGAATCTGAATGTTGCATAAATGTAATGATAAGGGAAATAACATGCACAGATTGTGACAATCCACTTGGAAAAAAAAAAATCCAAACTAATTTTGTTCTATTTCTTCTGGGCCATCTGAGAGCCTTTCCACATTTACCCATACAGACTAAATTATACTGTGATTGAGTTTATGGAAAGATGGCAGCACATATGTAGATGATAGCACAGACAGATATTTATGAAAAACTGGGTTTCTATAAAAAAATAAAAAGGAAAGTTGGTGGGTATTTTGAGGTATATTAGTTAATGTTTAAAAATGGAAACTTTAAAGAATATGCCACTTACTCAAACATGCCACTTGTGCTCAAAAAGAGAGAAACAAGTTTTCCCTTATAGGTGGTGGTTAAATGTTGGCTTGGCTGGTACAGACTTTTATATTCCCAGATGCATGAATCACCTCTACAATATGTCCCTTTTGTTTGCATACTGGTATTCAGTGCCTGTCTGGGGGTGGGGGAAATGTGTGGAGAAAAACCTGTTACTTTGTTACCCTACGACCAGATTGTTTCAAGTCTGTGTGTGCATATTTTATGTCAGAGTCTTTCCTTAAATCTTGGCTTTCTTTCTTTCCTTTTTGCATATTCCTGCCCATCCTAAAAGAGTAAACCTTGTTTTGAACCAAAAATAAATTGCATGTTATTAATAAATTAAATTTTCTAAATCCCTTCTGTTTATTCTGAAAATTGCCTGGGTGAGATGGAAAATATACTGGCCTTGTGTGTCCCGCTTCCAGTAAATCTAGCCTTTTCTCTATAAGACTGTAGCTTCCAAAATGTACTTGCATTTGTCAGGATAAGATTATGAGTTTCTGACTTTGTGGGCTTGCAATCTGTATCTATATTTACATATAGGCAGTTTATGTTATTTATAATTTGTACATGTATGGTATACATACATTTACCAAGAATCTAGGCATTCATGGGAGCATTATTTTTGTTAAATTCTTTTAAAGTTGTCACCAACATCACTCTTTCAGATATGGAAACTGAAACTTGGAGAAGTCAGAAAGAATTTATCCTCACAGATAGCTTTGTCACTTCTCTACTGAACACATGCAGACCGCCTGATGCATAGAAGGAAGCCAGCCTGGCCTCCCCTGGGAAGTAGAGCTGTAGTCAGGCACACTGGTGGTCTTTAAATTAAGCTAAATGGTCCTTTTAATTCACCCCAAATAGAAGAGAAATGTTTTAAAATGTTGTTTGATGGGACCAAGTCTCATCATAGAAAATATGTTTCATTACTTTGTGGGTTTTCTTTTTTATTGCTTTGACAATTTAGACTTGGCCATCCGTGCTGTAATCTTTCCGTTAAATTTTTTGTAGTTAAAAGTTATGTATGTTCACTACGGAAAATTTGGGAGATATGTAAATGCTAAAAAAAAAAGCTATGGCATTAAGATGTAATCATTCTGGAATTCTTGCCCTATATACTTGCAGTATTTTTGTGATGCATTGTGTCTATGTGCACATTGTGTCTTTGTTTAGTTTTGGAAAAACTTTAGTTT